TCTCTTGATACATTTCTACAAAACCTGTTTTTCAGTGAGTGATCTGTCTGTTTGCTGTTTAAACAGCTATGATCACTGAATGCTTGGATCTAACATACCAATCCACATACCTTTTCTTTGTCAACTATTTGCATTTATTTAAGACATTAAGTCTCAGAGTATTCACTAGGACTATTTTGACATAATATATTGTATGTATTTATTCATAGTAAAATTTCCAAATCCATGCGGCTTAGAAGAGCCACTGGCCCCTAAAAGGGACCACCTTTGATGGGTTCTTTGTTCGGATCTTCTCTGCCCAGATGTTTGGGAGCAGTCTGGTTATACCTGCGGGTCACGTGAAGACCCGTTCAGCATTCTTGACCAATGAGTTCAGGGCAAAGTTTGAGCGCGAAACCTTCCTTTGTCTCGAGGCTGCTCATATGGAAATTTGAGTGTCCGCCCAAAGCATGCAGAAAGGCATTTAATGCAGGGAATTAAAGAATAAAGCAATGCGAGTTATTATCTTGCTCTATGCATCATGTGTTGTAAAATGTCAGCAGAAACCCATCGGTAACAAACATGGGGGGTTTAAAAGTACATCAACATAATTTTTCACGTCCTTACATTATTTAAACTAAAAAGGGCCTAAAAGTACAAATTTGTATAAACTATGAGGAATGGTACACATTACAAAAGTTAAGTGTAATTAAACAAGAGATTTGGGTTCTAAATGTCTTTGTTTAAATAAAAAAACATTGCAGAGTAATGTCTTTTTCTTCTGTGAGCAAAAGCTGACTAAGGATGGGTTTGTCTCCTCTTATCTTATCTGCCATGTTTTTTTGAAGTCGGCAGAGAGTGGTTTAGGACAGCTCTGTGAAGTGTCCCAAACTCGTTACTTGTCAACAGGAATTTTTTTAGGCCAGACTTTTCGTCACCGAGTGATCTAAATTGCCCTGGAAATTGAACCCAGACCGTTTTTATGGAATGTTGAACGGAATGTTTACCTCCAACATATATGTTACAATATAAATGTTACCAGTTATGTTACAACACCATCATGCTGAAATACAAGTCTCAGCAACTTTGTTTACGTAAACATTTACAAAAACTTTGCTATTAATATACAGATGATACATTATATGACACTAAACAGGGTCCCTGATTCATTTCAGTTTCCACCAATGGGTGTTTCTCTTGAGTTAGAAAATCCTTTAAAGTACTTTACACACAATAGTATGTACAAATATTTGCAATAAAGTGCACAAAGAGCAAGCATTTCTACTTGGTGTCATGGTTCTCACCTTTAAAGCCAGTTCTGAGATGGCTGATGTGGGCCACAGCATTAAATTAGCCCTGGCAGGCACAGCCCTCATGGGTAAACTAATCTGACAGCAGTGATCTCCTCCACATATCCCATATCATAATCAACTTTTATGCCTTTTCATGCCTGTTGGAGATGGATCACTATTAAAACTTCATGCCCTGGCGACACACTAATGCTGAAATGCATGGTGACAGTGGTTTAGATGACACACTCACACACTTGCTTAACCCTCTTTATTATTATTGGGTGATTGAGCCGCTGGCCTCTGTTTAAGTGGGTGACAGAAGAGAGTTTAGAGTAGTTGCTTTCCCTTCAGCACATGAGAAACAACTGATGTCACACACACGCACACGTACAGATGTGAGAACTGAAGCATCAGGGCCAATTAATCAGCCATCAAGGGGACATTAATAACATTTCAATCTTTCTCCCGCTGTCCCTTGTTCTTTCTCATTTGCTTTTGATGTCACCCCCGCCACAGTGCTGACTTTGATCTGGTTACCCATCAGCTTGATAGGCTGGGTACAGTCGAGATGCTGAGGTTTTGATGCTGAAAAGTCAATGCAAGCCGCAATGAAAAAGGTTTTAGAGAGATATTATCATGATTGGATGAACTAAAAGGGTAGATGGAACACAAAGGGAGACATTTTTTATTCTTTGTATGCTTTTATATATAAAGGAAAGAAGGTACAAGTAAACAGGCTTTTATTTGTGCTGTAAGTTTGCATTTTAATAACTTTACTAAAGGAAAACATACACTGTAAAAATTCAGGGTTCCACATATTGAGTTAATTTTATGAATTTAAGTGATTAAAGATAAAACAATTAACTTGTCGCAAGGAAATCTCAAAAATTGTGTTGTTTTAACTCATTTCAAATACGTTTTGGGTGTAGTTAAGTGTTTTGACTTTGAAATATGTGTATATTTATTCTGTTATTGTTATTTTATGACAAAAAAATGAAACAATACACTATTAGAATGGGCATGTGAAATTTGATGATTATGCTTAGGGTAAAAACAGCATATCATATTGTAACACATTCATTAGAATATCAGTGTTCTGATATTTATTACCTATAATAACAGATTGGATCCATTTATTTATGAATATTGATTCCAGTGCTGTAAAGTCCAAAAAGCCAAACTTAATTTAAAAAAAAAAAAGGTAGATTTAATAATTTTCAAAATTCACAGTCTGGTTTATACCCAAATATTTTGTTTTGCTTATTTATTTGTAGTTAGATTGTTAATAACAACACTTCCACTGCACTCAAAAAATGACTTTTGCTTCTTGTTTTAACTACTTAATCAAAATTTGAAACAACACAATTCTTGTTTTGTTTTTTTTTTTGTTTTTTTGGACAACTTAATTGTTTTGTGTTCAATCCACTTATTTTTGTTAAAATGATTAAGTTAACTTAATTGATTTGTGTGTGGACAACATGAAGAAATTGTGTGGAACCCAGCATTCTTTACAGTGTGTGGTGAAAACCCTCCCTAAAAAGAACACTTTCAGGGCTTAGCGGGCCTCTTATATAGACAGCTACAGTATATATAAATATATTACAAAAAGGATTGTAAAATATTAGAACAGACATTCTGACATTTGGTACAATCTACCAGTCTGAACAGTCAGAATAACTCCCATTGCTATTTATAAAATATGTGGATATAAAAGTATTCTAAAGGTCGTTTCATACAACTTGTGATCCTTATTCTAGATTTATTTACTGTGTTCTGTTGAACACAAAAGAAGATATTTTGAAGAAAGCTGTGAACCTGTAACTATTGACTTCCATAGTAGCAAAAATATATATATTATTGAAAGTCAGTAGTTACAGGTTTACAGCTTTCTTCAAAATATATATATTTTTTGTATTCAGCTGAATAAAAGAATTCTTTTTTAATCCATGTGAATATACTTGTAGTTTTGTGTACATTGTAAAGCATACTTTTATAAAGGGTAATTATTTGAAAAATATGAAACTAAACTATTTGCTGTTTATGTACAGAAGAAGAAGAATTTTCATTAATAGAACATTAAAGATTTGTAGCTGAAATCTTGTTTTTTTCCTTATACATATAGCTAAAATCATAAAAAATAAATACAGTATATAGTATTTAAGTATATATTAAATATATGTAATATTCAAGTCACCATTAACTTGTCACAATTTTTCTCAGAAAATATATTTTTTCAGTGAATATTGGTTACAACTCAAGAAATCCATGTATGCAAAGAAAACAAAACTAATTAGTTTGCATATGAAGTTATGTGTAATAAAATGAAATTGCACAAGGAAAAGTATTAAACACATGAAGAAAGGAAGGTGTGGAAAGGCAGTGAAAGCCCAGACAGCAACTGAAATCTCTCTGGGTAACACTTTATTTTGATGGTCCATTTGAGAATAAGGGCATACTTTCACTATGTACAGTTGCCTTGAACCGGGCCAAAGCATGCTTGTCCCACCTCCCGTTTCCCCCGACGGCCCGCACTCACATACACTCGAGCCTTAAAAGTCACGTCTCGCTGTCAGTTTTAGGCTTTGGCGCGTTTTGTACTCACAGTACAAGCATACCGCGCCAAAGCCCAAGTAAGCCCACTCACACTTCTCAAACGATCGGGGAAACAGACCTGGGCACGGTTCGGATAGCATAGTGTGAGTAGGCCTTTAGTTGACTGTCTGCTTAATATCTGTTGATACTGCTGCTAAACAGACATTTCACTGACTATAAGAAACCTTGCAAGTACAGGTCAACTTACACTATCCCTAACCCCAACCCTAATCCCAACCTAACAGTCTACTTTTGGTCTAACGAGAATTAGTTGACATGTAGATGAAATGTAACTTAAATTCAACAAACGGACCATCAAAATAAAGTGTGACCTTTCTCTGTAGCTCTTCAGCAACACTCTGACCTTCCTTGCTGTGAATTAATATTTGCTTATTCAGTCCAACAACTACATTAGCAGGGTGATGAGGATGAAACATTTTAGCAAGACAATTCTTCAAGAATATGATTCAAAATACAGCCAAGAAAAATGTTTCAGAGAAAGAAAGTCAAGCTGTAGAATGATTCAGCCAATCTACTTACTTGAAGCCAATAAAAAATAAAGAATAAGGATCAGATTTGATCCACAGAACCATCAATTTTTTTTACATTCGCTGCAAAAATTCACACCTGAGCAATTCATGTCACTTAATTCTCTATATTAGAGTTGTCTTTAAGTTGCAATCACCAAAAAAGTATTAAATGCATTTCAGTAGTTCAGTACTTTCTTCTTGTGTCATTCCATTGTTATTACACAAAACTAATTTTTCGTTTTTTTTTCAGCTTTACTTTTATATTTGTATTTTTAATTTTTAATATTTTTTTTAAAATTAGTTTTATTTTATAACTCCTTATGAAACCGTTGTGACTTATGAAGAAAAATGCTTTGTCTGTGCAAGAAATTTAAATTTTTACATATGACAGTCTTGACAATTTATATCTGTGGATTAAATATCATATAAGAAGATACTGTACTTTTAAATATTTGAAAGACACTGTAAGTGCACATTTAATTTATTGAAGCACATTTCTTATTTACTAGGGCTAAAATGACACATTATAGAGAAGTAAACAATGACAAAGTTTTTATTTATCCAGTCAGCAAATCTGAATTTTGTGTATATGTCTGTGAATTTGCAGGATGCCAAGTTTGTGGAGGAGAGGAGGAAGCAGCTGCAGTCTTACCTGCGAATGGTGATGAATAAACTGATCCAGACACTGCCTGAATTCACTGCCCAGCCTACAAAGGAAACCTTACTGCAGTTTCTGCCTTTCTGCCAGTGAGTAGACCAACACACACTAACACAATAATCCACATGCAACAACCACCAACTGGATGTATTTCAGATCCATGAACTCTAAATGACACTGTATTTCAGTGCCTTGATGGAAGATGCATGTCATTTTGAATTGTCACTCGAGTAGGACAAAGCAATCAAACTTTCAAATGTCACAAATGCATGCTGAATATTGAAACCGCGCTCTAGAATGAATTATATGAACGGGCTGGATTCGCATTTGTGTGGCCATAAAGAAAAAGTTCAGAAAGAGTGCATAATTTACTTACAGATTGTGTCTTGTTCACAGCCCTCAAAACGTGTTTGATTACGAGAGATTGATTATTAGACGTAATCTTTTTTTTTTACATTTTAGGAGTTGACCACTATAGAATGCATTATATTTGTGGTTCAGTGAATAAGGGTTAAATATTTTTTTCATTTAAGAAATTAGGAATAGGGCTTTATTTTTTTATTTAAATTTTATTTTATTTTATTTTTTCAAGCATGTTTCTGTACAACTAGTGTCACCTATTTGATTACAAAAATAAAACATTTAAAATGCCCAATGCACTACACACTTTACTTGAAAGGTATTGGTAAAATACCTACGATTAAGATTATTCTTATTCTTAGGATATGATAGTATTTTATTATAGGATTGTCAGTAAAAAGCATGTGATAAAAACATGAAGAAACAGCAAACCAATTCCTCTATTATGTAAAAGCACTCCTAATGTTATTCTTGTTTGTAATAAGCTTAGTTGACTTTTGGCGAGCCTTATTGCACTTTTAAAAATGTGAATCTGTATTTCTTTCCCAATGTACTGTAATTTCAGTCATGTTCCCAAAGCAGCTAAACACTCTTTGACTCATCCTCACCCTCCTAAAAAAGAATTAAAAGTTGATTAAAAAATGTAGAGAAATTTAAGGCCCTTAAAAAGTATTAACAAGTCTTAAATGCTATTTTGCAAGGTATAACTTTTTATATAATTTTTAATTAAGCAATGTATGGTTGTATGCTAAAGTTTGCCTGAATTAAATCTGCGAATATCAGGATGCTGTGTAGGTAATAAAATCAATAAAATCCTGCCAGATTTTCAGCATGCTGCTTTGTTTACTGCAGTAACCAAGGCAACACCATTATTTCTGCAGTTCCATAGGCGCCAAGCTGCTGAATTAGCTAGATTTATATTCAGTATATGAATAATTTTTTAGTTTTGGACTAGTTTCTTACATTAATATTTAGAGTTAACATCTCACCAGTGTTTTTGGTTGAAACCTAAAGTGCTTATAAGGTCTTAAAATGTATGGAAAGAGTTTTAAAAAAAAAAGGTCTTAAAGGTATTGAATTTTACTTAAATTTGATTCCTGTGTATACTCTGCCCTTGCTTTTTAGAGGGATAGTTCACCCAAAACCGAAGATCAATTACTCACCCTCCAGTTCCAAAGCTGTTAGACATTATTTCTTCTATGTAACACAAAAGAAGATATTTTGAAGAAACCTGAAGACATTGTTTTTCTCACTATAGGAAATCAGTGGTCAGAGCTTTTCAGCTTACTTAAAAATATATTAATTAGTGTTCAGTTGAATAAAGAAACTTCGAACAGATGAGAACATTCAGAAAGGGTAAGAAAATAATAAGCATTTAGATTTTTGAATGAACTATCCCTTTTTTTTACTTTGATTTTTACTGATTTTAATTATATCAAAAAATCCAGCAAACAATATAGAATATTAACTTATATAATATTTTAGAATGTGCCATCCCACCCCAACATTTGTTAAACTCTTATATGGAATATATATTCAATTCCATGTATGTTCAATAAAAAAGGTCAGGAGAGGGTTTTCTTCAATGTCAAAAATATTAGTAATTTATTGGATACAAATAAATGATTCGATGAACAGAATTCTAGTATCCTTAATGCAACTCAGGAATTACATTAAGGAGGTGTGCAACAAACTTTACATTTCCTGACTCCAGTTTTTATACTCAGCTGATATTAACTGGTGGAGTTTAGTGGAATTTGTCACTTGTCCATCATTCTCCAGTCCTCCGGAGGCCACACTCAAATATACTTCCTCTGCTGCTACGAATTCTCCACACAACATTAAAGTTTCATTGTTCAGCTAAAGGGGTGGTCCACTACGATATCATATTTTGAACTTTAGTTAGTGTGCAATGTAGCTGTGTGAACATAAACAACATCTCTGAGTGTAAAAAGCTCAAAGTTCAATGCAAAGGGAGACCTTGGTTTTTACAGAGTTAGCTTAGCAAAGCCTACAATGAACGAATTTTAGGGACTACAAAAAATACTTCCGCTCTTGTGAGATTACAAAGGTACTTTTACCGCGCACACACACTGCGCAGCTAATGGCCGTGGACAGAGGCGCTGTAACTTTACAGAAGAGAGAGAGCTAAAATGTGTCCAAACACTGCTGTTTCCACAGAGCTTCGCCTGTTTCTGTATTTGAGCTTCCAAAGGACACGACACAAAGACAGAAAGTGCTTACAGTTCAATATTAATTATGTTCCAGAGAATGATAAAATATATAGCAAGCATGATCTGACAAAACAGCTTCCAGAATCTCTCCCAGTTCAGTGCTGGATTCGGTTAAAATCTCCTCAAAGCAGAAGCTGTGAACTACAACCTGTAAGTGTTTTAATTTGTTAAAATTGATCATGACGTGTACAGTGTCTAGCTTTAACGGTATGCTGTAGCAACGATGTAAACAATGGGAAATGCTGTTGTGCACCGCAAACAATTTAGCTTCAAATTCATATTTATCAGTCAAACTGCTGTAAACACACACACATTTCACCAGCACATGCAGCGTCTCTCTATGTGTGTGCGTGACTGCATTGATTCTCTTTAGGCTGCTTTTCCATGCGTTTTACGTCTCAGAAAATGAAGTCGCAAAAGATATGTGGATGATTCATATTACTTACACAGGCATATTTCGGATATATGTGAAAGACGTTGTGTAACGCGTTGAGTTAAAAAAAAAGCATAGCTCACCTAACTCATGTAGCAGCAGAAAAATAAATTAAGACTCACACAGGTTGCATCCCATATCTTGTACTTTATTCTTCTGTCATGATATATTAAAGAAAATAACTTAATCCGAGCATCAGAGAAAAAGAAAAAGAAAGTCCCGCGCACATGTTACTCACGTCTACAGAAAGTTCACACATTCACACACACATAGACACACATAAAAGCATTGTCTCTTATAGAATCCGCACCCCATTTTCACTTTTTACAGACATTTGTCAGATTTTATTTTAGAGAGCAGGCAGGAGGTTGACTGACTTGTACGGGCGTGACATGGAGCTGCTCTGCGAATCGCAGCACATTATGACGATGACCAATCAGAGTCACTTTTGGGTGGCAGAGGAACTAGGAAATATATCAGTCGTTTTCATGTTAGCTGAGTAGCTGTGTATAATCAAAGTGATATTTATGAAAAAATAATATGATTTCCTTCAAATAAAACATGAGCGCACATTGCTTTGCATCTTCTAAACACAACCAAGCCTTAAAATTACATTGTGGACCACCCTTTTAAAGTTAAAAATTGTTCACAGCTTCAACCTACTGTGCTAACAGGATGTTAATTTTGGACATTCAGGCTTTTGATTTTCCATCAGCTTCATTTATTTCTGCAAAAATGCTTCATTAGTATGCAAGGCGTATCACACTTAGAGAAGTTTGGTTAATATATCACTTTAAGCAATACACATACAATTGTTTAATGTAAAGAAAAATAGACAAAAATAAACAAAAATATATTCTGTTTTCCTAACAAAACAAAAGTTAAATTTGAAATAAATTATAAAATAAAATACAATACTTTATTTAAAAAAATACATATAAATTGACCAATGTGCATGTGTGTATATAATAATAATAATAATAATAATAATAATAATAATAATAAACATTGATACATTGAATTTTAAATTTCAGTCATCTTTCCAAAGACATCCAATTTTTGTCTATCCATTTATAAAGCAACCTAAAAGAGGACATACTTTTTTTTTAAAGTCTCTGCTTTACCTCTGATTACATATTGAAATTTTTCAAGAGCAAGATTATCATATATTTCCTTTATCCGTTGTCCAAGAATAGGCATTTGGGTATTTTTCCATACCAAAGCAATAACACGTTTAGCTTGTATAAAGCTGAAATATATACGTTTCTTTTTGTTTGCATCTACTAACATGAACTATCCCTTTAATTGCCATTGATGGTCCCATGGAGAACCTTTAACATCCAAAGAACCTTTCAATTCCACATTAAGGCCATTATTTTCAATAGACTAGAATAGACTGTCAATTCTGTAGGTGATTAAATTGTAAGAAATTTTAAGAAATCTTGAATAAAAGTTCTTAACAAAACCACATAATAATAAACATCTACAAAAAAATTAATAATAATAATTTTGAAACATTTTTATGACATTTTATCCTACGTGTCAGATTATGCTTGTAACACTGTATTTTAATGGTACAATGTTACAGTTTCATATCACACAGCTTCAAAACAAAATTTACGCTGGTAGCACATTCTCATAGGTAGCATAGTCCTTCGTCAAAATGTGTTACCTATTTTTTCAATGGGAAGTAAGAAAATCTTACATGGTTAGGGTACCGAATTCACATCCCAATGTCTTGCTATTGGTCAAGCAAAAATAGTGATTGACAGAATTTATTTTACTACTCTGAATAAATGCTTCTGTTTACTTTTTTAAAGGAGGAAATCAAATGACATATGAATGACATATACCTATAGTGGTCAGTGAATGATAGTTTGGTTAAGAGAATATGCTTAAACATGTAAAATCATGGAGGAAATCCCATAAATGACATAACTGTAGTGGTCAGTGAATGATAGTTTGGTTAAGGGAATACGCTTTTTTCATTGACATTTAAAATCTAGTCATATTACAGACCAGTTGTGTATCACTTCACAACTTTCATTTGCAGCTTTTATAA